GAGAGCGGGGTTCTTACCGGGTTCAAGTCCTTTCTGTCCAAGCCGAGCCCCTGGAAGGTATCATAGTACATGATGTTAACGGAGCTCCCGTTGTCTACCAGGACCCGATGGATGACAGTGTCGTTGATCTCGATCTTGATCATCAAGGCGTCCCTGTGCGGAGGCGGCATCGGTGGTAAATCTGCATCAGTGAAGAAGATGGGATCCCTCTTCACCTTCTTGTCGGCGGGAGTCCTGGTTATCTCCCCGATGTATAGGGCTCGGGCCCATTGCTTCCGCTCTCCCGAGGTATCACCTCCTTGGGGTCCCCCGAAGATGTATGAGCACCGATGGTGCTTGCGGGAGCCATCCCCCAGGTCGGCCTCATCATCCTCCGAAAGGGCGCCGAGCTCTCGCTTCTTGGCGGGTTGCTTCTCCTTTGACGTGGCAGCCTGGTCGGACCGCTGCCACGTCAGGCTCCTCTTCTGCGGGATGTTCCCTTGCTTGCCCACAAACTGGCCCAGATACCCCCTCTGGATGAGCTCTTCAATCTGTCATCGGAGAATGACGCATTCATCCGTATCATGCCCTGCTCTCCGGTGGTATCGACAATATTGGTCGTGGTTCCGCTTGGCGGTCACCACATCACATTCTTCCGGAAAGTCGATCAGTCCCTGCTCCTCCGCGTAGTCGAGGATGGCCCCGACCGGCTGAGCAAGTGGGGACAATTGTTTGACGGGCAAGAGCGGCCCGCTCGGGACGTCCGCCCTGCCCTTACCTTTGTTCTTGTTACCTTTGTACTTGTTTTTGTTGCCGGCCTTGCCTTCAGTTTTCTCGGTGCCAGAACCAGCTTCCTTCTTCTTCTCTTCCTTCCCACCTTCTTCCTCATCTCTCTTCTTCTGCACGGCGTCCTCCGCCTCGGCTTGGCGGTCGGCACGACCGAGTGCTTCTTCATACGTGGTGGGGGGACTTCTGACGAAATCTTTGTAAAGCTCACCAGACCGGATGGAGTTTGTGAGCATGGCCACCCCGGTCCTGTCATCAAGGCCCTGGACCTTGATTGACTCGGCCCTCCACCTCGCTAAGAAGGCGGACAATGATTCCTTCTTCCCCTGTTTCAGGCCGAACAGGTGGCTGAAGTTCCTTTTGACGTCTCGAGAGCTCGCGAACCTTAAGAAAAAGCGCTGAGCCAACTCGCGAAAGTTCATGATACTCCCATCAGGCAAAGAGTCGTACCACTCACGAGCTGGGCCGTCCAAGGTGGCAGAGAAGCCGCGACACCGGATGGCATCCTCATACCCCATCATCACCGTGTAGGAGAGATATCGAGATACATGATGTTGGGGGTCAGAGGTGCCCTTGTATGTTTCGATGGTGCAAGGCTTGTATCCCCTTGGCAACGGCGCATCCATCACCGCTCGGGTGAAAGGCTCGGGTATCCGGAGGTCGCCCGTGTAAGGTTCTCCCCCAACGACCCTTCTTCTTAACTCGTCGAGGCGATGGCGCAGATCCTCCACCTCGGCCGGCGGTGGACCCCCCTGGATGGCCCTAGCACGGGGCTGGGCAGTTCCAGCGGCGCCCCCAAGTCGTCTATGAATAGGAGGTCGGGCCCCTACGTTCCGCCTTGCCAAGGAACCAGTCCGGCTGCTCGCCCAGTGAGAGAGGCGAGAGGACTCGCTTCCTTCCATCTGCCTCGAGCGCCCCTGCCGGGCGCCCATCTCAGCCTGCTGATGGGCTCGGCTAAGCTGTTGAGAGACCTCCTCTCTCCTATGCAGGTTGGATCCAGAGTGTCGCTCTTCACGCCGCCTGGACGACACCTCCACATCTGCCGGCGTTTGTTGACGGGCAGGCTCATCCACGTTTCCGCCAGACACCATCTGTTGGAAACCTTGAGCCACGGCCCCCAGAACCCGAGTCGCCTCCTGTAGGGCTTCCACCCCGGCATTGAGTCGAACCGGGTCCATGCGCGGAGCATGACGTCGGCCTCCCCCCCGCCGGCTGTGGACCGAGCGCTCACCTTGGGTGTGGTTGAGCGTCGCCCTCAGGTCGTCGTGGCCTGACAATCGGTTCCGAAGGTCGCCTTGGGGCGCCGCCCTCCTGCCCTGCCCATGGTTGTCGAGGGCACGCTGGCGGCCTGACCCGGTGGATTCCTCAGTGTGGACTGAGACATGGTTACGTCGGGACGAGATTCCAGCCATCTTTCTGTGCGATTCCTGCTCAAGTGATTGTGAGAGACAATAGAGGCTCTCAATGAAAGCACCAATGTTGGTCCAAAATAGGACGCTCGTAGGCTTTTAGGAAAGCTACGTAAGGACACTCAAGCAGAAATCAGGAAAGCAATACGAATAAGGAAAGTAGCTAGAGAGTTTGATAGCCAGAAATAACTTGTCTATTATTTGAATCCAACTTGCCTTATATAGGCGATTACAAAAGGTAACTGCCAAACGTTATAATGGCTAATTTAATTACCATATTAATACATAATTAATCACATAAATAAATATCGTATTAATGCCTGGCCGTTACTCTTCCCTGGTTGGCTGGCCGTTGCTCTTCCCTGGCTGGCAGGCTGGGCGCTCGGGCTCCCTGGGCAACAGGCTTCCGCTGGGCCGGAATCAGGCTCCTCGCTAGACCGAAGACAGGCTTCCGGTTGGGCCGGTAGGCAGGCCGTCTTGGGCTTCTGCTCCGCCGGACTTCCACTCCCTGATGGGCCCGGTCGGTTGGGTCGCCCTGATACCTGATCGCTGGGTTCACTAGATGGGCTTGCCTGGCGAGACAACAGCCGTGGGCTTGGGCCCGCTGATCCAAGTTTGGGGCCAAGTCTGATTAGGCATTGGGCCTAGTCCCATAATCCCATCAAATTGAACAGAAGAATTTTCTCTCTCATATGTAGTACTTCTAGGTATTAGCACATAAGCTTGCTAACAATTGAGCAGGATAATTTTACCTCTCATATGTAGTGTTTTTAGGTATTAGAAAACATGTTTACTAACAATTGATCAGGATAACTTTCTCTCTCAAATGTAGTTCTTTTAAGTATTCCGTATAAGATAAGTCGGCTCACAATTGAACGGGATAATTTCCTCCCTCATATGTAGTGTTTTTAGGTATGTGAAAATCAGAAGATAAAATTTCTAACAATTGAGCGGGATAACTTTCTCTCTCATATGTAGTTCTTTTAAGTACGATAATCCGGCTAATAATTGAGCGGTAGAATTTTTTCTCCCATATGTAGTGGTTTTAGGTATATAAGAAGATAAACTGGCTAACAATTGAGCGAGAGAGTTCTCTCTCCCATATGTAGTGTTTTTAGGTATAAGAAGATAAGTCGGCTAACAATTGAGCTGGAGAATTTTTTCTGTCATATGTATTGCTTGTGGATATAAGATAAATTTGCTAATAATTGAGCAGAAGAGTTTATATTGTGCTTTTAGGTATTATTATTACAAGATAAACTTTCTTGCAATTGAGTTGATGATTTTCTCTCATATATGTAGTTCTTCGAAGTATAAGATAAGCCGACTAGCTAACAATTGAGTGAGAGAAATCTATCTCATATTTAATTCTTTTAGGTATAAGGTAAATTAGATAACAATTTAGCAGAATAATTTTTTCGTTCATATGTTACCACTAATTTAACTAATGCGCAACAAGTTCTTATTTAACTAATATCGTTAAGTTTAATATTTATTGTATTCACTTAAATTTTATGTCACATACTTATTGCCCCTTCTTAGAATAGTAATTAATCATTAAAATTAACAAGTAGCAAATTCTAATGAGTGGTGTCAATTAGTTTTCCATAATATACTTTTCATCGAATATTTATTGTGTGGGCTCATACTTTATGGTATTAGCTCATTGTACTTTTATTTTTCTAAAATGTGGAATCCAAAAAAGTTATTTTTTATTTTAATATTTATTTAGATCATGAGTAAAATATGTGTATCAACTGCTCTTTCCCGTGCGTATGCACGGGTACTATACTAGTTGAAAGTCTAAAGCATGAAACTTTTTTCCGTTCAATAACAGTGATTTTACTTAATAAGATCATTGAAACCTTCAATAACTCAACCTAACGAAATATAAATAGATCACTACCAATCACAATATGCAATCCATTATCGCCATCATCACATTCATTAAAATCGGAATGCCACAAAACTATATATTCTAAACTATTTTCTTAAAAAAGAAATCAAAAGACTAATTTGAAAATTTCTAAAACATAGTAGGGCTAATATCTTTAAAATTTTGACTTGGCTCTTTTTTTAGATAAATAAGTTACAAAAATGTGTAGTTAGTTTTGAAAAAAAACAGTAAGCCACGAATTAGATTTAATGGATAAAAATAGTCATTGAACATTTCCTTTTTGTTTAGGTAAAAATAGATTAATTTCAATTGGATGCAGTTGAGAGTTATAAAAAATATGTTCTGTTCATTGAAAAATATAGTTTAATACATGTTTAGATAATTAGTTCGAAAATAAGACATACCCAATCTATATGAATATATACATTTGAAATCAATGATATAATCGACTAAATAACTAATTTTTCTTTAGTAAAACTAAATAAAAAATCATTTTATCTCGTGCACGGCGCGGGTAAAGATACTAGTATATATATATATATATTGATAATTAAGAATTGGACATACATAAGTAAATTATATCACTCCCTTACACGTGCAGTAAGTAGTACACATATAATTTAGACGCATAGAGCTAGGAAGGATGTTCCATCCTCCGTTCTTTAATTCTTGCAACAGTTTGACTTTCACGTTTGCCAACACACAACTTTGACTGTTATTATATTTAATTATGTATTAGTAAAAATTATAAAAAGTCGATATTTTGGTAATTCACATTGATAGGAATTCAATAACATTTTGTACGTAATAATTTGATTATGTATATTAGTAGAAAATCGTGGTCAACGTAAGATTTGTGAATAGTGCAAAAATCACAATGTTGCAAGAATTAAAGAAGTAATTTAATACAAGTATACGTATATATAGACGTCAAAAGTTATTACTACGGTACTTATTATTAGCAGGAAAACAAAAAGATTCATACATATAAATGTGAAATATTAAAAGATCCACCCCACCCGCCCGGAAGAGGACGGATGTTTAATAAGTTGGATGTATGTGTGAGTATGAATGCGTTTATGCAGCAGAAAAGTAGGCGAGAACTCCAACCAGTGGGGCATTGATGTAGGTTGCCGGCTCAGATTGGCCAAAGTTTGTCCTGTCATCCCTGTATTGATCATTGCTATCCGGACCGCCCACAACGGCTCCGAAAAGGATGTTCGGGTTCGGATCATTTGTGTCCAGGGCAGCATTATTGCAGCCGATGACACCAGAATTCTTCCTCACCGACGTAATAGAAGAGCCCCTGTGGTGCACACGTACCGGGTAACGTGACCCGAACCCGACCATGTACGACATTCCTGCCGGGTTTTGCCCGAGTATGTAGTCCACCTGTTTCTTCGCGTAATTCTGGATCAGATCACCGCAACCCGCATCTAGTCCAGCCGACTTCAGGTGGGTTGCATATATTACTACCAGGAGAGATGATGCCGTCACGTATTGGAGATTGCTCCCCTCATATAAGTAGTATAGCCCCCCTGAAAATAAAGAAAGAATGCCAAAAGTGAGACTCCCAGCTTATTGAAAGACAAATACTCCGTATGCACGGGTACTATACTAGTTGAAAGTCTAAAGCATGAAACTTTTTTCCGTTCAATAACAGTGATTTTACTTAATAAGATCATTGAAACCTTCAATAACTCAACCTAACGAAATATAAATACGAAATATAAATAGATCACTACCAATCACAGTTGTAGTATAAGACTAATTTCAGTTTGGTCAATAAAGTGACCGAAAGTGATTTAAATTGACTTCAACACCCTCGAGCCTAACAGCCTAAACTATCCTTCCGTCTTAGTTGGTTGCTTCAACTTCCGACTTCTCTCCTTCCCTTTGCATCTGCGATTCGTCGAGTCCACAGAAGCATCAAATCGTCGCCTCACGCCGGTAACAAAGGAGAACTTGATCTTCACCGCCACCCTGGACCTCGTCTCCACCCCGTCCAATTTCTTTTTCTTCTCTTTCTGTCCAGCGTCGCCCAGGTGATGACGATTCTAGATCTGTGGCGGCGGCTGGTAGCGGTGGTGTGGATGTTGGGTGACAGGGGCTGGAGAGATTCGACTGGGGCTAGGGAGAAGGGGATTTGGGGCTGGGGAGGGGGAGGGGGCTTGAGGGCTGGAGAGGTGGTTGGGGCTAGGGTTGGGGGCTATGGTGGGGGTAAAAGAGGGTCTTTGCGTGGGGCTGGGGGATGGTGCGTGGTGGTGGCAGAGGGGCAGGGGGTTGGCTGAGGTAGGGGAGGGGCTGGGTGAGACAGGGGATGGGACGTGCTCGGCGGCGGAAGTTGCCGGAGGCGGTGATTGCCGGTGGTGATCTCCGGCGGTGGCGGGGGTAATTAGTTGGGTTGGATAATTATAACCGGATGGGCGGGCTTGGTCAGTGGTCACAGATGGGCGGAAGTTGGTCACTGAACGGGCAGACGCAGGTCACTAAATGGGCGGACGTTGGTAATTGTAACAGGTCAAATTAGGTAATTGTAACTGAGGAGTCGGGTAACGGTAAATAGACGGATCGGGTAACTGTAATTGGACGGATCGTGTAACTGTAACTGGCAGGTCAGATAACTGTAAATGGAGGGTCAGGTAATTGTAACTAACAGGTCGAGTAACTGTAACTGGTCGGGCAAGTAACTCTAACTGACCAGATGGGTAATTGTAATTGATCGGATGGGGCAACTGTAACTGGTCGGGTGAGTAACTATAACTGATCAACCGAGTAATTGTAACAGGTGGAACGAATAATTGTAACTGGTCGAACGAGTAAGTATAAGTCTATAATTGGCAACGAGTAAGTGTAATTAGTAATTGTAAATCAATTGAATAATAGAGCATGAACTAATAAAAGTCATCCTATGAGAAGATTGGAATTTAGAAAGCATCTTATGATTAAAAAGCTACGTATTTTGATTAGAAAGGAGGGCTGCGTAAAAAAGCAGGGTGGGTAAGAAGAAAGGGGGTTGCCCGTAAGAAAGCAGGGGCATATATGAGATTTTCACTCTAATTTTTTTTAAAAAGGACACGGAGGTCTCTTTTTTGGCTAAAATCTAAAGAAGATCTATATTTGTCCAAAGTCATTTAATTACTAATATTCATGACCTAACCCCGAAAATAAATATACATACGTAGTATGTTATAATCATAATATAGCCCCTAAAAATTTACTTCAAGTAAATTTTTTAATCATCATCATCGTCATTACCCCTGCTGCAAAGGCTTCCCCCACCTACGGTGAAGTAGGCAGATCGGATGTGCGCAGTTTTACTTCTGCCCTAAAGAATAGAGAGATTGTTTCTAGATGCTCCATAGTGAAAATCGCTTCAAAATTGCATGAACCGACTGCTGCTTCTTAACAAAGAAGCGCAGACGATTTAGTAAGTCATTTTGCTTTATTTCATCTTATTCTCTAACAAAAAAATAGTGAATCTTTGGCTCAATTGCAAATGATGGAAATAAGTATTATAAGTTTTTTAATATAGATGAGATAATACTACATATATACTTCCTCGGTTATATAATTCTTGCAACATTGTGATTTTTGCACTATTCACACAAACCGCAATTTTCTACTAGTACTATTTAATATACATACATAACCAAAGGTATAAAATGTCACTCCCTCCGGACCGTACCTGGTGTTTCTTTGCTACTTAAAGAGCAAACGTAGCTGTCTGCGAGGCCTCTGGAGTTCGCAAAATCACTTTTACCATGCTTCATATCGAGCTGTACGTGTGTAAACAGCATATCACAGAATGTTTGTACATTATTATTAATTTCTGTTAACCCTATATATGTCTCATACTTCTAAGTTAGTATAAGCTAGTATTCTAAGGATAGTATAAGCTAGTATTCTAAGTATAACATGCACATATTTCACAAAAAAGAGTATTTGTGTTTTTTTACTATTGCTATTTTTTTGACTTACTCCGTATTTTATTCCATGAAAAGAACTTACTCGATAATTACCAAGAAAGCAATGATAGATCTACTTGTGCACCGTGTCTAACTGTGATAAGAGCTACACCCCGAATAATATAATTATGTGGAGTTTATAAATTTTATGCTTATTTGAAGCAGGGCGGACCCAGGAAATTCATCTTGAGAGAATGATAATTTAAACAAAATATTTTTTATGAGGGCGAAAATTATTTTTCGTATATATACACACTAAAAAATTTGTTGTTGCAGGGGCGACAGCCCCCCTGGGTCTCTACTACGCTCCTCCCCTGAATTTTGAAGTCCGTCCAACTAACATTGGGATATAAAAAAGTGGCACAGATATTAAGAAAAATGGGTTTATGTAGTTTGATTGATAATAAATCGATAAAATAAGAATACAGTAAAAATGACTTAAACCACACAAACTTTACTAAATTTTCTATGTAACAATCTTAATGAAATGTACTAAGGGTATGTTTGGCACAACTAGTTAAAAAGATACTTTTACGAGCTTTTTAGTAACTGTTAGCTTTTAGTGACTGAAAAGATCTTAAAAAGAAAAGGTGATAGCTGTTTGGTAAAAAGCTGACTGTTTGATTTAGTTCGGTTTGGTATACAAGCTGTTAGGACTAATTTAAACTAAAAGTCACGAGCTTTTCTCAGATGCTACACCTGGTAGCATCTCAAAAAAGATCTTTTAATTTTTGAAAAGCTCTTAAAAAATGTCATGCCAAACATACAACTAGAGTCTTTTAAGGTCTTTTTAAAGAATAGAGAAGCTAGAAGCTAGAGTCTTTTGTGTGCCAAACATAGCCTAAAAAGAAAAGATATAACAATTTTAGTGATAGGGAGAGAGTAATTTTTAACAAAAAAAACATGACATGTAACTTTCATATTATAAATAATCCTTATCTAAAAATATCGTTGGTGAAACCACCGAAACATACTACCTCCGTCCCATTTTATGTGTCTTAGTTTGACTTGACACGGTTATTAATGATGTGGTTGAAAAAATAAAGTTGTGATTGAGGTTTGAGTATAGTAAAGTGAAATGATGTGCACCATACATTCCTTTCCAAAAAGGGAAAGAGGACACTTGTTTTGGGACAACCCAAAAAGAAAAGTAAGACTGGTAAAATGGGACGGAGGGAGTAACAAACACCAAAATATGCGGAGTATGTTAATATCAGGGCCGACCCTGGGCATGTACGTCTAGCATGTCTGACAGCATAGGCTCCCAAATTTTTATGGGCCCATTCTTTCATAATTCTAACTTTGTATCATCCCAAATTCAAAAAAAAAATGACACTCCATACTTAAGGGCCCCCCAATACCGACCGGACATCACGATGTATCGTCCCAAATTGAATACTTGTATACAGAGTACATTATATGTAACTATTAACTTCTACTTCTTCCGTTCTCTTTTAATTGCAGCAGTCTAACATTTCATGTTTGCCAACGCATAAGTTTTACAATTAATACCTTTTACTCTTTATTGGTAAATAATTTGAAAAGATCATACTCCTTAGTCCTTAGGATCATACTAATTTGAATTTTACACTATTCACGTGGTCTACTTTGACTAAATTTTATTTACTAATGTATTACTATATTTTTTTGAAAAATATATTGTTAAAATTGCCTTATTGTAAATTTTCAATTTGTTTTTTAATTTTTTACTAATAGAGAATTATATATATTAATGATCAAAGTTGTGTCTCGACAAGTGTGAAATGTTGACCATTGCATTTATTTAAAAACGGGTGAAGTATTTTGAAGCTTTAGAATAAGAAGAATTTAACATTATTTTTTAAAAATTTAATTTATAATACATTAATTAATAAAATATAATCAAAGTAGAATATGTGAATAGTGCAAAACGTTCAATGTTGCAATTAAAAGAGAACGGAGATAGTAATATACATACAATGGACAGGAAAATGTTGACTCCAGGTATTTTGTCGTCCCAGCTGAAGGAATTCATGTCGCCGTTATTAGCCAATGTTTGATAGTTTGAAGTTACGTAATTCCGATAGAAACTCTCCCCGGATGCACCGAGTAGCCAAGATGCGGCCCATATAAGCTCATCCTGAAGTATTATTTGAAAAAATATATATAAATTGAGTTAACGTCCCATCTAAGTAGCACGGAAATGGGAAACGGGAAACATGAAACGGGAAACGGGAAACGCGAGAAACGTAATTTCTGAAAAATATAGGACACGAAATGTGGGGGAACGCGTAAATATTATAAAATATAAGGATATATTTATAAATATTTTTTAATATATGTACACAAGTTTTTCCATATGCACATGTTTTTTAATATAATTTGTTTAGTAACCAAATAATAAAATCACTCTACATGTTCGAATTTAGATATTATTTCATATTAGTACATAATTAAACATAAAACGTACGGAGTAATCCATTTCTAGCAATACATTGCGTTACGAAATGTAACAAGTGTTGCCGCTGAGAAATACCACAACAATTCACTATATAAAATTATTTTCCACCACAGAATCTTTTGAAAAAGAAAAAAATTGGAATCCGAGGTTTCCGAAACGTAGTGAAACGGGTTTCCAAATTTTTCTTAATTACGGAAACGGCCCCGAAACGGGAATTTGAAGTTTCCGAGTTTCCGAAACGCTTCCGAGTTTCCGAAACGTGGAAACGTGAGTCATGGAGAGTTTCCTTTCTAGCGTCCCATGCATCTCAAATTTTTAATTGTAAACTAATAGAATCGACTCCAATTTAATTGCTTGGATTTCTTCATATACGGGAATTGGATTTGTATTTGTTAAGTATTCGAACTTAAAAGATAATCTTTCTTTTTTTTGCGAGGAAACTTACAAGATCTTTCTATTTGATTAGTTTTTAATATATATATTTGGTTATATTCAAATATTCGATCAAATATTTACATTTGAACATTTCATTATTGATTTATTTCCTATAATATTGTCAACTCGCTTAGAGAGCTAGGATGTTTTCTTTTGGACTGAAATTTGCTGGTCTGGTCTGGTCTGGTCTGTTTAAGTCTGGTCTGGTCTGGTCTGGTCTGTTTAAGTCTGGTCTGGTCTGGTCTGGTCTGAACTGGTCTGGTCTGGTCTGGTAAACGTCTGGTCTCTGTGTATTTTATAACTACGGAAGTCTGGTCTGGTCTGGTCTGGTCTGTTTAAGTCTGGTCTGGTCTGGTCTGGTCTGTTTAAGTCTGGTCTGGTCTGGTCTGTTTAAATCTGATCTGGTCTGGTCTGGGACTGAAAACAGTCCAAAAGAAAACATCCCTAGCCTCACATATAGCCGATCAACATGTTCTTTTTCGAAAATATAATACTCCGTATTATGACGGATTTGACATGGAACGATAATTTCATGCTGCGCTAAATAATTTGTGCAAAAGTGTTTTTGACACGGATTCGGCATATCTCTTCTAAAATCTCTGTCAATTTTGGAAAATTACTGCCAAAAATCCCTCACAACCATGTGTTTTATTTGTAGTGATATATCGGTAAAGCTAGAACTGTAAGTTTAGTTTTTAACTTGTGACGTGTAAAAATAAAATGAAGCTAAAGTTTTGGGTCTTACAGTGAATCCCGAGGAGTGGTACATACTGGAGTCGAATGAACCCCGGTTTTTATCAGCAAAATCAAACACCTGCATTTGTTTATAGAGATGAATCAGTTAATGTAATACTCCCTCCGTCCCGCTATGATTGTCCCATTTTACTATTTCGGTCCGTCCCACTAAGATTGTCACATACCTTATTTGGTAAAATTTGTGTGGTTCTAAATTATTTCTACTTTATTCTTACTTTATCAATTCAATATCAACCACATAAAGCCACTTTTATTAATAACCGTGTCACCTTCTCTTGTCCCAAATTTAGGGGGACGGAGGTAGTATATATTTAGGAGCACAATTATCGATCTTCCGGAATCCGGATGAGACAAAGACTCATCAAAGAGTATTTAATTAAAGGCATTAAAATGAGGTGGTGGATGTTATGATACTCATTAAAATGTGGGTAACCTATCTACTCCGTATTATTCAATTCATTGGTTAGACTCATTATTTCATCACTTATTTATAGAGTCAAATTCTATAAATACGAATAAATAAAAGGTGAATTGCAAGAATATATAGGACAATCAGTATTAATTTCCCTAACTGATAGAAGTAACTCTTTCTATTCTACTCTTTCAATATTTTATACAAAAAATCGTACATTCTAATAATAGTAAGAACATAAATATAATTAATTGTATTTATATATATTAAAAAGGTAAAAAAAATAACTAAATATATAAATAACAGAAAATTGGAAATTCTAAACAAAGTAAAAAAAACGTAAAAAAAAAACAGCAAATTCCTGCCGCCACCTTAGTCACATTATTCTAGCAAGTAATTGTTCTAAATAGGACCAAAACATAGATAAAAACCCAAATTAGGACTTAATATGTTTTATTCTCCATATAGGAGTCATCCGCTCCTATTATCAGTTTTTACGTTATCTGCAAAGTCTAAAATGTCCATGAGTGTATCCTTATCTCCGCCTCCAGCGTAGATCTTCTTCTTTTTGTGTGCCATGCTCTTCTTCAGCAACTCCAACATATATCAATCCTCTTATCCTGCAACCTAAAATCAATAATCTCCCCTGCAATTCCAGTAGCGATCATCTTCTCCTGCACCTCAACAATTGATCCTTCTCTATGATGTCCAGTCCAAAACTTCAGGTTGTTCTACTATTCCCCTTCAATTCTCATAGCCTCTCTTTCCTTTTCTCTCTTCCTCTTCACATTCGAACATTATCTACCAGATTCCTCTTCCTCATTTGATTTCTTTTTCTTCTTACTCTGTTTTGTAAAAAGTGTCATCTTTGTCCTCAGAATGTCATGGAGATGACATTTCCACATATAAAAACATGGCAGTCGTGCAGAATGTCAAGTTGTGTCATTTTTACTCTTTAGAAATGTCAAATAAATTTATCATCTTGATAAATGTACTGCCAAGAGAGTGACATTTTTTCCAAATCAGTGTTCAATAACATAACAATTATTCCATTTTCAGATCCAATTGGTTAAAAAAGTGGAAAATGTCAAGTTGGTGTCATTTTTACTCTTTAGAAATGTCAAATAAAAACCGTCATCTTGGTAAATGTAATGTCAAGACAGTGACATTTTTTCCAAATCAGTGTTCAATAACATAGCAATTATGCCATTTTCAGGTCCAATTGGTGAGAAAAATAGTATAAACTGGTCGAACGAGTAAGTATATCCAAACGAGAAGAAAAGAGTAAAAGTGGAAGAAAGAAAATACAGAAGCTTTAAAGACTAAAAAGAAGAAGAAAGAAAAAGAAGAAGCTAACCTGGGAAAGTTGCAGAGGCAATGCAGAGACATTCTTTAACGCAACATTCACAAGTCGCGAACGACAGAAGAGTGGCTTTGCAGGGCAGTTTTGGTATGCCATCAATATTTTAGTCCTATGTTGTTAAACGTGAAAGTGATAGTCCTACGATGGGTTTTTTCATAAGTTTTAGTCCTATATAGGCAAATCTCTCTATTCTAGCACCGCCGATGATCGGAATGCACAAAAACTGACTTACTGACTTTCAATGACTATGATCCTGTTCAAAGTATACGTCATAGATTCTACGGAAATACTCCATCCGTTCTTTTTTAGTTGCAACATTCATTTTTCACGCTTTTCAATGCACAACTTTGACCGTCAGTATATTTAATTCTCTATGAGTAGTAAAAAAAATTAAAAATCAAATAATGAAACTTTCAAATTAGACGAATTCAACAATATTTTTCAAAAAGAAAAACTCGCATACATTAATAAATAAAATGTAGTCAAAATAGAGTACATGAATAGTGTGTAATTTTCAATGTTACAACTATTATGATACGGGGATAGCATATATGTAGTCATTATGATGTGAATTTTAAACTTTATAAGTTTTAATAATTCAACCACTATATAATTTTTTGAATTACTGTGCGATTCTATTATACTAGTAAATATTTACTCCGTATATGTTTCTATTAGAAACAAAAAAAGATTTTGTATTGCGTGATGGTAGGGGTTAAATGGGAGAAGTGTACAAATTACTTTATTGGGATGGTAAACATTGTAGTCCTACTTTACATTTTGAGGATATTTTTACTTTTGTACGTATGGGGCAACTTTTATTTACTTATATATCATAAATTATTCAATTGCTATATTTGAATTCGTTAATCTAACAATACCATAGGGATTTGCAAAAGAGTTGACGATCGATCAAGAATTAGAAGCTAAGATGGATGGGCTAAGGTAACGTACAACTTTTGCCCTTTGGAGCAAGGTGTTGGAATAACCAGGCTTGGATTTTTCGAAGACGATGGAAGCGGCCGCCAGTGCTGCAGCCGTCTCACCTGCAACATTAGACGCTGCGGAAACTGAGAACACTGGTCGCTGCTTTGAGTCCATGTCTTCTGGCCTCTGCCAACATGGGTGGTCCAGACCAGGGTCACCTACCTGCACACAGTACAAAAAGATGATCTTAATTAACACACCATGAAAAGTCAACAAGTATAGTCAATGCAAAAATCTCACATACTATGATACTATGGTTGTGGAGCCAGAAAAATGACCTTCGGGGTCGACTTCGACCATATAATTTTTATATAATATCTGAGTTGAATGTTTCATATGTAATTTCGAAAATGAAAGTTTAAAGGAAAATAAGAGAGATATATAGATTTGATATACAATTATACATGTCATACACGTAGTATATTATAAACTTGTTTTTTACGGGTTTAGTTGAATGGTTTGCGCAACGTTTGCTACCTCAAATGAGGTCCCGTGCCTTTCCCTCACACCTGACTTAATATCAAGATATCCTCACTCATTTTAAGTTCTTAGGATGTTTTTACTTGAACTGTAATTTGCTGGTCTGGCCTGGTCTGGTCTGGTTTCTTTGTATTTTTATAACTATCCAAGTCTGGTCTGGGACGAATTACAATTCAAGATCCTTACTGGTAATGAGTTACGGGAGCCATACTATTACTTTATCAAAATTGAAGTATTTCGGAGCTCTATACTTTCCAACTTTCGGAGTAAAGTAGGAAGTAAATCAAATAAAAGAAAGTTAATTTGGTGTGGGAAGGAGTAGTTCATATTTTAAAGCTGGGGCTCACTTGGACATATAGAACTCCTTTGCTCTCTATGTCTCCTGATGCTTTCAACAAATAGTCCGTGCCCCATGCGATTGCCTCTTCGGCATACTTTTTTTGATCTCCCATCAAATCGCCAAACTCAATAACGCCCCAAGATAGAAGTGTGATTGTGAACGCCATTGGCTGGCCATACTTAACGTTGTCCCCAGCATCGTAGTACCCTCCTACAAGATCAACCTGAACAAAAATCAAACGCTCATTTGAATTGCATTTACAATACAATATACACTAGCTACATTAGTCAAAGGTAAGGAACTAATAACATTACTTGTGCAGTGCACCCATCAGTCAAGGCAGAGTCTCCCCTCCAACGGAGGCGTTGGTTCGACGGCAACTTCCCTGACCGCTGCCCCTCGAAGAACAAGATGGATTTACTGAGGGCGTCGGCGTAGTCAAAGGAGCTGACAGAAGTGGAAGATAACAAGAGTGAAAGTGTTATAAATGTGCACAAAATCTGCATATTCCAGGAGTGCTGCTCTTGCTGCTGCATGCTATGATTAATTAACTAATACTGATACAAATATAAGATAGCAATTAATTAAGCTAGCTAACTAGGTCCAATTGATGGAATATTACTGGGATATGTAGATGAAAACAAATGTAGCTTAAATAGATGGAGGATGGATTATTGTGGTAAAAAAGTTGGTTGGTCGTTTTTCCTATGATTGGGGGCTACTCATCATCATTAATTACTGTAGCTGCGCGGGTCAAATTAAATATTTTCTTTCCTTTCACATCCGCCCTCGAATCAGCTGCGTTTATTGGGGGACGGTAATTAGGACCACAAGTTTTACAAATCCCAATTAACATCTTCTATCTTAATCCACAACAATAAAGTTGTTTGTGTATCACGAGAAAATGCAAAATAAATACGGAGTAATAATAATCGAATAGAGAAATATAAGCGTACGGATTGATGTCACCTTAACAATTTTGCCCGCCGCCAATTAGATCTACAAGGATAGAATGATCGGCATTTGTTCCCCAAGGACTCGGCCAATTGCCCACATCTCATTTTGGGGATGTTTAATTAGTTTATTCGGATATGACAACATATATAATTTAATGAGATTTGCTAGATATGTCTACCAATATACTTCCCTTATCTCATTTTATCTCATTTTAGTTAGACAAATTTGACTTTCAAAATTAATGTTTTTATGGATTTATATACATAAGTATTGATCATATGAAAATGTTTTTTGTTAAAAATACTATCATTAAAGTATAAAATTAATAAATTTTGCATAAATATATTACTTAAAATAATTGATCAAAGTTTACTATTTTGATTAGAAAGCCAAATATGACTAACTAAATGGGATAGAAGTAGTATATTAATATGACTAAATATAAATAATGAGAATAAAACACCCTTTTACATTTTAAATGACCTAAAATTGAAAATATACATTAACTATCTCAATTAAATACACATTATAAATGCTTACAATGAAAAATCCCATCTTTTGTAAAAAACAATGTCATCAATCCTCTGACAATGTCATGACTATTACATTACTTTAAGAAAACGATATTTGTTTTCAAAACTACCATCAAGATGTCAAATTTTTTCATGATGGCATTTTTCTAATGATCGGAGGTGGCGGTGTTAGAAGATTGCTAAGGTCCGTATATTACAGAGTATTTATTTATTTATTTATTTATTTGCATTTTTTTACTTTAGTGTTTTATTATTATTAAAACTAATTTTATTAAAGCATGACATGCAAGGTAGTTACTCCTATTTTTGAAATTTAAAATTTATTCTCGTATACTTTCAATTTAGATCTAATTTTCTCTTATTTAGAGAATAATCCCTGATTAAAAATGTAATTCGGATATATCATTCATTTTTTAATCAAACATTTATTTCTAAAACAAATTCCATATTTTATATCCATTTTTATAATAAAACTAATATACGCACCTTATAACTATAGATAAATTACTTCACAAAAGGTACATACACAGTACTATTATTAATCAACAGATAACCTATTTTATGAATAAATTACTATAGATACGCACATAGCACATTACAATATACAGGTAAATTACTTCATAAAAGGTGCATACACAGTACAATGCAATCAGAAATTCAGAATATGATTATATGAAAAAGGCTAACAAGTTAAATGATATTATGTCCGTTCCTAATTGTTCTTCATGGCACTAATGACACAAAGATTAAAATAGTGGCTATTGTGTGGTGGAATATTGTGGAAGAACGAGAGAATGTGTAAGAAATGTTGTGAACAGGGGCGTAGACAGGGGTGGCCATCCCTGGCCATGACCCAGCCCAAATTTTAAAAATGTCTATATTTTTAGGGTAAAAAATTCCGTGTAAATTTTTTTTGTAAAAATATTCTTTGTACCAGCCCAGTCCGATCCAGTGTCATGTCTCCGCCCTTGGTTGTAAAGCACAAATTCTATCAAAAAAGATAAATGACAATTTTATTGGGACGGACAAAAAATTTGAGTTGGAGGCTATTTCAGAGACGGAGGGAATATAATTAGAGCCGTTTGGCGACTCCGTATTTCGAGGGCCAAATTTTGTTATAATAAAATACGTAAGATTGAAATTACATTTTAACTAAATTTATATTAGAAATTACTTCAAATAGGACTAAAACTATGGCAAAAACTAAAAATAGGACTTGCTATGTTTTTTATTCCAAAATAGGACCATAGTGGTCCTATTGGAAACATACTCATTTCTTCCTTCCATTCTTACCCCTCCTTTAAATATTAGTAAAAGATAGCTAAAAGTCATAATTAAATGTTTAATTCATAATAAATTCGAAAAAAATTCAATAATTCGTAGAAAAATAATAAAAAAAATTAATAAATTTTTTTTTAATAATTTTTTTTTTGAAAATTAATAAAAAATAGTAAAACTCCATACAAAAAATTAAAAAAAATATGGATACCTTTCCCACCGCCTGTACTACCTCCCTGAACCACCACCTCCGATCGGTGTAAAAAATGCCACTTTTTTTAAATTCCACAAAAATGGCATATATATTTCTCTATGAGAATGCCGACATTTTCATTCTGCCAACTTGAATCCTTTTGACTTTTGCCAAAAATATGGCATTCATAATTTTTTTGGCATTTTTTTACCCCGGGTGACAGGAAGTGGTGGTACCGCCTCCCTGCACCACCACCTCCGACCATTAAAAAAAATGCCATATGTCCTACAAACTTCCATTTTTTTCGGATAATGCCAAAAATATGGCATATTTCTCTTTCAGAATGCCAACATTTTTTTTCTTCCATCTTAAATCAATTCTGAATTATGCCAAAAATATGGAATTCATAATAAATTTAGCATTTTTTCCCAAATGACTAGAGGTAGTGGTGCTGGGGCGGCAGAGGCAGCGGTGACAAAAAAAAAATTTGATTTTTTTTTATTTTTTTTTTAATTTTTTTTTTAAATTTATTATTATTCAAAATATTTTTATTAATTTTTTGGTATATTTTACGAATTTTTATTATTTTTTATTATTTTATTATGAATTAAAACATTCCAATAGGTATAAGGGTATATTTGTCCAAGACACACATAATCAGTCCTACGGAAACATAGTTTATTTTTTTGTCCTATTTGTGCAAAATGAATGACTTTTAGTCCTATTTTGATAATTAACTCAATTTATATATGTTACAGTAGAAAGTTATACTCGTATATTTTAGTTATTTTTTATATAATTTTTCGTTATTTTATGAATAGAGTTTTTACGGAATACTCCGTGTACTTTATTTGCCCATAATTAATCAAATTCAGGACTTCATCAATTTTACCTAAATGATAAGTACGAAACAACCATCCATTCATTTCTCAAATGATCCGTAACTTCGAATTGAATCAACTTATTACTTATTCCGTACTTTTTTTGAAGCAGTGGTCATCCTTGAAGTAATTGTAGGTATATACTCCGTAATAAGTAAAAGAAATTCATTATTAGTCAAACTTTATCACCATTTATCAAGAAAAGTTAAATTGATCAATCTTTTTGGAACATATGGAGTATTTAAGACCTAAAGTTACATTGAAGATGTAATATACCTATAAAAGTGTTACATTTTTCTCTAATGTAACACTTTTTAGACCTAATGTAACACTTTCTAGAAGTATAAATGCTACATTAGGGACTATAAAGTGTTACAATATGTCAAATACAACATGAGCAAATGTAATGGTAAAAAAGTGTTACATTTTCTCTAATGTAACACTTTTAAGTGTTATTGTAACACTTTTGGGTGATACATTAGATGTTGAAATGTCGTAGTGGCAGGGGCTGCCATAGGGGGAAGGGGGGCCTAATACCAAAAAAAAATAGACCTAGATTTAGTTCTTTATAATGGGGGTGAGTAGGTTGACCAATTTTTAGTCCTAAACAAATAAATGTAGTTCGGGTAGAATTTTGTAAAGTGCTTTCGGGTAGGGCTGAGCAAAACCCGATCCGACCGAAAAACCCGATATTTTTTCCGGATATTATCCGAACCGAAGTGGATATCCGACCCGAAAAACCCGAAACCGAAAATCCGATTAGTATTGGGCCTAGACCGGGTGACGGGTAGGGTTTGTGAAATCCCAATCCGACCCGCCCGAATATCCGAAATATAGGTTAGTGTGTACTTTGAATATTTAAATTAATACTTGTGTTCAATTATTTGTGTAATTATTTGTGCAATTTGTATTAAATTATTTGTGTAAATTGAATGTGTAGTGCACTAATGTGTACAATTTTTGTCAAAGTGGCATTCCAACACTTTAATTATCCAATTATAATGTGTTTTAATATAACGGAAATATCCGAAATATATTACATTATGTAGTGTGTACTTTGAATATGTTAAATTAATACTTGAGTTCAATTATTTTTGTAATTATTTGTACAATTTGTGTTAAATTATTTGTCTAATTTGGAAGTTTAGTGCACTAATGTGTACAATTTTTGTCAAAGTGGCATTTAAACACTTTAATTATCCAATTATAATTTTTTTAATATAACTGAAATATCCGAAACCCGACCCGATACCCGATAATATCCGACTTAAAAATATCCGAAATACCCGATTTGAAATATCAAAGGGTCGGGCCTAGTATTTAAATTCAAAAAACCCGAACGGGTTTAGGGTTCGCAAACCCGACCCGCCCGAACCCGACCCGTGCACAACCCTACTTTCGGGTGGATTTTTTTGAAGAATATTCATGAGCATGTTCTCTATGAAGTGTAGATTATATCCAAAAAATTTGAAATTGAAATTCAATTAAGAAGTTAGTTAAATAAAATAACTTATTGAAAAACATTGCGTTTTTATGCATATTTTGGTGCAATGTTTCTCAATCATTTATTTAACTGACTTCCTGATTGAACTTTAACTAAAGTTTTGTGGGCGTAATCTACACTTGATGAAAAACATGCTCATAAAATTTCATTGGAAAATTCCACTTGGAAGAGATTAGTTTAATACAATCATTTCACTAGTTGATTAATTAATTTCATTCATACTTGATTTTTTTATTTCTTAAATATTGATTGTTATCTATTGAGTGTTGGTACAACAGTTTATTGATTTCATTAGAGAACAGTTTTCAATTATTATTAAATTTAATTAATTTCAAGGTGTAAAAAAATTGTTTGAACTTGATGAATACAACAAAAACATCCCAATAAACCTTAATCCCAAAAGATGTTGGGGTTGTTTTAACCTGAATATGGTAAGGAAAAAAATGAGAACATTAGACAAAGCGGCACTAATAGAAAAGGTTTAATGGACAAGTATGTTTATTTAAACAAATCAAATTCTGAACTCAGAGAAGAACATGAATTTAGCTACCGCAAATGAAACAATTTAAAAGGATCACATCATTGGAGAAGAGAATTTAGGAATTGATCAATAATAATAGAGTTAATTTCTTAAATAAGATTAAAGCTAAGCATTGATAAAGTGCATAAATAGGACCACCATTGTGTCCTTCCTAAATAAGGACTACCAATACTACTCGTATAATATAA